CTGGTAGGAATGCACATATCTTCACAGAAACTGATATATGATGTTACAGTCTCTGTGAGCTCGTCCAGACCGGTGGCAGCAGCTTCAAAAACAGGCCACAGCACATCTTCTTTAACACGGTTACATCTGTACACCACCTTTCGTTGATATAAAAGCATGTCCCGCCGCCATGCGATTTCGCCGTTGATTCTGCGTCACAGTCTGCTCTAAACAGCTGAAAGCCCGGCAGATTTAACGCGCTGTCCGGTATGGCATCATTCAGCCAGGTTTCCGTGAAACACAGAGCAGCAGAGTGTGAGAAATCCTTATTTGTCCGGGAGAGCAGAAGGAGCTCGTCCGTTTTGTTGGGTAGAGAGCGGAGGTTCGCCAGATGGATGCTAGGCAACGGCGTCCTGAATCCGCGCTGCCTGAGCTTCATGAGTGCGCCGGCTCGCTTCCCCCGTCTGCGCATCCTGAAGTGCTTGATCAACATGTAAGTGATATTTTAGAGTATTAAACATATATATATATATATATATATATATATATAGTGTCACATGATTCTTCAGAATCATTCTTATATGTTGATTTGCTGCTCAAGAATCATTTCTGATTATTATCAATATTGAAAACAGCTGTGCTGTTTCATATTTTTGTGGAAACTGTGAGCTGCTCCGCCAACTACTATGTCCAGCAAAACATCAGAATAGTCGAAAACCGGTGAAATGTCGGGTGGTGTGTAGTGCCGAATGTCCAGCAATTCGTCTCTGGTGAAACTGATTGCAGGGATATAACTAAAGACAGGACAAACTAACAAAAACACAAAAACAACTGCAGAGCACGCCACAGAGGCCGCCATCATAATCGGCGCTAATCATCGCCAATGATTGGAATAATAATGAATCATTATTGAAATAATAATGATGAAGATAATAAAGAAAAACACAAACTGAAAAAAAAAAATAAAAATCTGTGTTAACAGATAAGAGGAATGTTCTGCAGGAACACACACACATTCACTCTGAAAACCGTAACCTGTTACTGTCATTTCTTTATTCTGTTAATGTAAGAAACGTCATACAAAATTCAATCACACTCTGTTATCCCTTTACAGTTATTATCATCAGTTACGCTCATTCAGTGAAGACTGAAGTTTAACGCAGACTGTCAGGAAGAGCCTTCATGGAAAAGAAACATTCACGTGAATATTTAACATTTACAGCAAAGATTTTTGCAGTCTATGATATTACTGTAAAATGCAGTTTATGCACTGAGAAAACATATCTCACACATTAAACAGCACATGCTGCATTTGTCAAAGCGCCAGACAGGACAAGCCGTGTTAAACATTACGCTAATACATTAGCTTTAAGTTCAAATTAAAGTATTCTTATGTTTTGGGCAGCTTGGATCACGCATCTTTCCCGCAGCAGCTCACTCGGTTTCATCTGCTATTTTTAGATGCATTTCGCCCATACTAGAAATGCTGTCATTTGACGTGACTGACGGAAGTTTTCCGTGCGCGGTGGGCAGATCTAATCGATAATGACATTCGTTGTCAATTATTTTCATTATCGACTATTATCAATAAAAGAAAGTTCAAAAGAACAGCATTTATTTGAAATGGAAAACTTTTGTAACAATTTATATCTATTTACTGTCACTTCTGAACAATTTAATGCGTCAGTGATAGATAGATAGAATTAAAAAGATTTAATTTTTTATATTTTTTTTACTAGTGAGTGCAGGACACTATAGTTAATTTATGTAAGTGAGGATAGCAAAATAAAGTAAACTGTGACATATTATACCCAAAAATTCTTCATACAGTGGACTACCAGTAAAACTGATACAAATTTGGGACCAAAAATTATTCAGACACTTTGAACTGAGCATGTTTTGCTTAAATGTTATCTGACATTATCAAGATGAATTTGTTCTGACACAGTTTAACTCTTGTCATATTTTATTACCATTTTCTAAACTATAGCGAAAAAAACTGTGATAATGTGAGAAATGTTGAAGGTGTCTGAATAAATTTTGGTTTGACTGTATATGTTTCTTATGTATTTGGGGTGTTTTCCAAAGATTAAGACTTTTTGTGTTTTGTTGATATTGTTAAATTGCTAATGTCTCACCCCAGCTCTGACATGCCATCCAGGAACTCTTTGCGGCTGAACTCGCACTGCGTCGCCGCTCTAAATTTCCACGCCACAATCAGGATGCTGACACTGGATGGATCCAGCATGAGGTCGTCACAGAACTGCTGGACCCCGTCGATGCCGATCTTATTCTCATCATGTGGATCTGCGGACAGGAGCAGCATAAATAAAGATACAAACACACACAAACACACACGCTCAGTGCCACTTACCTTTATAGCGGTTGTACAGCTGATCCAGCTTCTTGCGATCCACTGCTGTTTTCATGGAGTCTCTTCGGTAGATATCAGGGTTCTGGAAGTAGTTATCGGTGGCCGTCTCTAGTCTCCAGTCATTGTGGGTCAGGCAGTAGAGGGCGGTTCTCTCTGCGGCCCGCGTGAAGGACATAAACTGACGGATCTTTTCCTTCTGGGACAACTTCAATTTATGCTGGGGAACAGAAGTTAATGTGAGCGCTTGCTTTCTGAACAACAACACCAGCCTCAGTAACCTGACTGCTCTACTGTTAAATAATAGTTACAGTAAACACAGGTAGTTAGTTAAGTATGTCCTCACTGTGTGAAATTTCAACATGACATGACAGTCACCTTGTATGGAAGTTTGTTTCCGAAGCCTGTTTCAAAAAAATAAAAAAGGTAATTGCGACTTTTATCTCACAATTCAGATTTTTTTCTTCCTTAGTTTATATTCCACAATTTCTTTTTTAGGTAATTTTTACCTTGGTAATTCAGAGAAAAAACAATTCAGAATTGCAAGATATTAACTGAGAATTGCGAGAAAAATCCACCATAAACCAATATATAAACTTGCAATTGTAAGAAAAAGTCAGAATTGTGAGATAAAAAGTCACAGTTACTAAGGGCTGCACGATTATGACAAAAATCATAATTGTCGATTATTCCCTTGAAATTGTGATTATTAATTACGATTATCACAATTTACATTAAATTATGTTTATACCATTGTTTGATGCAACTGCATGCTGTATTTTTATATGAAAATAAACAAGTTGAAAACACTAACTGAAAAACCTTTAGTGCTTTTCTATAGTATTAAGCCTCAAATGTCAAATATACATTGGATTGGTTTCTTCTTTAAATTATTTTAAAAATTTTTAAATATGAATGGTATTATAATGTTATACTAAAACTAAAACAATGGAAAAACCCTTAAGATAACATGTAGAAAGAAAAAAACATATCTTAAGCACACAGAATAACATAAGTGGACTTTGAACGATTAATTGCCACTTTGAACGATTACGTAATTGCGGCCCATAATTGTAATCGCGATTAGAAATTCGATTAATTGTGCAGCCCTAACAGTTACCTTTTTTTATTCTCTAATATGTGGTGGAAACTAATTCAGAATTACGAGATGTAAAATCAGCATTAAGATAAAAAAGTCAGAATAGCGTAAACTTGAAATTGTTGACCTTTTTTCTTGCAATTCTGAGGGAAAAAAAGAGAAACTCAGAATTCTGACTTTTTTTCCCTCAGAATTGCGAGAAAAAAGGTCAGAATTGTGACATCAAAACTCGCATTTACCTTTTATATGGAAATAAATATATATATATAAGCAGAAAATTGTTATATTTATGCCAGAATACCAGTTACTACAGTAAAATCAGCTGATTACATTCATAGTGAATTTTTTTCATTTATTTAATAATTTAACAATTTAATTATTTTTGATGACAATGGTTACCACGGTTTACCATAGTAAAAGTATGTGTAGAACAGGGAATTTTTAGGCGTAACTTTGCTTACTATGCTAAACTGACATCATATGTATATGAAATTATGATTATTCAAATACTAAAAAAAAATTATACACTGTAACCTATATACGAAGAGTCTGATCTGAACGTTAAATCAAACCTTTATCATAAAGTACAGTGGTTGTACCATGGTATAGTGATGTATCAGCAGGTAGGTACCATATTCCGAAATATTTTACAGTATTGATTACCACATTCGTATATCATAATGACATTTACGTGGTATTACCAGAGTACACGTATTTTTTTTTGTCTCTGAAGGGTTAAAGATCTCGGTATCAGTGTATGAAACCGGTTCCGGTGAGGTCCTTTGATTGAAACGCCTTCATGTGACCCTCCATTTCCCTCATATACTGACGCACGGAAAACATTGTGACAAAGCGACTCGAGCGCAGAACGAGCGTCTGTTTACAGTCATCACACTACCCCGGTGGCATTTCAGATAAACACTACTGCCCCTCTGCACGAGCCTCTAGTTCGCTCACCTACCATCTTTTCACGCGCTGCTTCATGTCCAGCGGAGCTCCCTGTGCGCATGCGCGGAAACCAGCGACCGCTCGTGCTCAGGGGAATTCTGGGAGTTGTAGTTTTTCCACCTGTGCGGCTCTCGAAGTAAACTGACATTTGTTTCACTTACAGAACCGCTAATCTTTAATTTTGTGCACAAACACGGCATTGATATAAGTAAGTATGGAGTAGTAATTAATTCTGAATTATTTGTAATTACAAAAAAGTGCTATTAGTAATTATACCTAAGGCATATTTATAGTCTATGGAAGTCCATTTCTGCCATGGGATGAATGAATTAATTAATGAGACTTTCATATCTAAGTTCATATCTCACAATTTTTACTTTTTTTCTCACAATTTTCTGAGTTTATATCTCACAAATAGATTTTTTTTGCAGAACAAAAGTCTGAATTGAGAAATATAAACTCATAATTCTGACTTTTTTTCAATTTTGGGTTTACACTTTGCAATACTGAGTTTACCTTTTCCCTCTAAATTCTGAGTTTACATCTTGCAATTCTGTTATTTTCCACCAAGGAATAATAATAATAATAATAATAATAATAAAAAGTTATTTGCAACATTTTATCTCACGATTCAAACTTTTTTCTCTCGCAATTTCGAGTTTATATCTCTCACAATATCTCTGACTTCTCAGAATTGTGATTTCTTTTTTTTTTGTGTCAGATTTTTCTTCTCTGAATTCTCAGTTTGTCTTGGAAATGTGTTTTTTGTTTCCGCCAAGGAAGAAACAAAAATAATAATAAAAAAAGGCAACTGCGACTTTTTATCTTACAATTCTGACTTTTTTCTCCCAATTTTGAGTTTACAACTCACAATTCGGACTTGTGGACCTTTTTCACATTTCCGGGTTTCTAAGCAGTGGAAGTCGTCATAGTTCTCAAATAGCAAAAGAAAAACTCCACGTTAGTGTTTTCATGACTTTCAATAAAAGGAAAAAAAGTGAGAGAGACTGATAACGGCTGTCAGAAGAGAGAACAATGTCAAATTTAGCACAGTTAGCGCATTAGCGTTAACTGGGTTTTTTTTTTTGTGTAATTTGATGCAAAGGTGATATAATACAAAGAATAGTGTTATAAATGTAGATACATTTAAAAAAAATACAAATATGAAAAACTTTCGAGGATTTACGATGCTGATGACCGTTAAACGCGTCATCACAGTCTTGTGAACTTTCCTTTCTCTTCTCAGAATTGCGAGATACTTACAATTCTGCATTTATAAAAAAAAAATCGAGTTGTGAGATAAAAATGCGCAATTACCTTTTTTATCCCGTGGCAGAAACAAACTTCCATAATACTTCTGAATTTCTTCCTGGCGCAGATTGAAAACTACAAATCCCACAATGCACGCGCTGCTGTTATGATTCAGAACTCATCACGGTTGTTTTCAGAGCTAGTAAAATAAAACACAAGGTGAAAAACGAGCACCGAAGAATGACAGCCACCGATCTGTGCGAAAACACAAACGCGACTAATGTTTGTCAATCTTCCGCGAACATTCTGTTCAGTTTAATCGAGTATGAGAGTGTTTAGTGCTGTCACTGCCGTGGGGTAGAGTTTGTGAGGAGCTCTCATCATTTCCCGCGAGCCGAGCTCGTTACCTGGTCCGGGACCCGAAAGTAAATTACCGGCGCAGCGGATGACTGGCTCGCTGTCCGGGAGCTTTGTGTCGTTTTAAGAGCCGCCTGAGGTCGGTGTGCGCGCGCAGTATGTGCGTCACAAGAGTTTGTCAATCTTCCGCGAACATTCTGTTCAGTTTAATCGAGTATGAGAGTGTTTAGTGCTGTCACTGCCGTGGGGTAGAGTTTGTGAGGAGCTCTCATCATTTCCCGCGAGCCGAGCTCGTTACCTGGTCCGGGACCCGAAAGTAAATTACCGGCGCAGCGGATGACTGGCTGGCTGTCCGGGAGCTTTGTGTCGTTTTAAGAGCCGCCTGAGGTCGGTGTGCGCGCGCAGTATGTGGCGTCACAAGAGAGCGATTGTTTCCTTCATTTACTGACGAGTTCCACCAGTTAACAGCAGTTTACTGACCAGGTATGAGTTAGTACTCCCTTTCTGTGTTATCGCTGATATTATCTTGCAGAATGTAATTTATCAAATGTACTTGAAGTGGATGATTTAGACAGCCGTGAGTAATAATCTGCGATGTAAAGCGTTTGATGGACGGTCGGCATAAATCTGCTTTATACTTTAAATAATACAGTGATTTACAGTAGTGATAATTCGCGACAAGTCGGTTGGCATTGGTTAGTTGTTATTAAGTGAAATGATTCTTAAACACCAACAACACGTCATCGCTGTGTCGGATGCGACTGCGTGTCATTCTCTATCATATTAAATGTAAATGAAATATTATGTCACATCTCGAAAATATTATCCTTCCTGCCTGTCCTCAGTATTACTAACCATTACCCTGTTAGGGTTAGCTTTTAACTCTGTTCTTGTTCAGCTGCAAAAATGATATAAAATCTCTTTGTACAAATACAGTAATAGCCTCTTTATGTAGCCTACTCTCACTAGTACTACCCAGAAATTCTATAAAAGAATTACCATCAAGATTTTCTAAAAAGTCATAAAAGACTTTCCAGGTGGACCAAAATATATGAAGTTTTTTTTTTTACACACACACACACACAAAACAAAATTCTAAGGCAAGACTTGAGGTCATCCCGTCTTATCTATTCACTAGACACCCCAGGGCGGTCTTCTTTTTTCCAAGAGCAGGCAATTACATGTTTAGGCTCCAGTAAACAAAGAGTAAACAGCAGTCTTTCATATTTGGTAATTCTAAGATTCAGAGGATACATGTATAATACAAAGAGCCTGGGGTCAAGAGGGCTCTAACCCTTTGCCAATAATTTGACTTACTATATCCAGTATTTTACACAGAAGCAATTAACTCTAGTGCACTCCCACATACAATGAAGTAAAGTTCCCTTCTCTTGTTTACATTTATAACATACATCAGGAATATTGGGGTTAAAATGTTGTAACTTGACCGGAGTGATGTATTAACTAGTTAACCATTTATACTGAAGCAATCTCAAATGGGTGCTCATTATGGAGCCCCTAAAGAGACATGGTGGTGGAAAAAAACACAAGATGGGAGGAAAAAATATTTTTCAAAACTTTTGCATTCTCTCGCAAAGATATTTGTGTTCTCTCGCAAAACTTGTTGAGTTCAGACAAACACTTCCTCTTTTATTTTACAGCTTGTAGAAGTCCAAACAGCTCCGCAGGTTCACAATAGAGCGGTTCATAGAGTTTTATTTTGAACTTGGACTCATGTACGTATAAAGAAATACAGTCAGCACTTAGTTCAAGGCACTGTTTTGGGACATTCTGAAAGGCTTAACGTGGCTTAATGTACGAAAACCGAGACATTGGAGGACCAAATTCAGTACACACCTTATTTACAAAGCATACTATTTACAGACAATCAGAATAGCCCAGAATATGAACGTAACGTTCTAAAATGCATGTTGTGTTTTTTCCCCCATAGAAAACGTTATAAAGAAAACACTTAACGTGGCTTTAGTCGAGGGCGCTTGTTATTCCAAATGAAGTTTGAAAAAAGGAATGGGGATGGATTGGAAGAGATTTAACAATTTGGATAAAATTGACATTTTTAATAAATAAAGACTTCCAATTAAGGAAATAAGGAGTTTTGTCCACCTGTTCAGCAGAGCAATTACAGATTTTGATAAGGGCTTAGAGTTAGCCGATATAATTTTATTAACAGTAGGATTCATTTTTATTCCAAGATAGGTAAAACACTCTTGTGAAACTGTTAAAGGCATCTGAACAGGTGGGTGAAGCCTCTCTTCTTAATGGAGGAACAAAAACACAGACTTAGAATTCTTAATTTTATACCCTGAGAATTCCTCAAAAATTTAGCACATTTTATAAATGAGATTACATTCTACATAAAACTTTTAACAGAATAAAATTATTATATAATACATTTCATTCTTGACAGAAAATGTATACAGCATAATATCTGTATCATTTTATTTAGAGAAGTTATTGTTTTATATAACATCCATCTTGTTATGCAACATTACATTATCATAATTTCATCAATATTAGCTAATGAACTGAAGTTTGCTGCTTGAGTTGAGTTTTGTGAATGATTGACACGTCTTTCTCGTGATTCAGTGTTGAAATGCTGATGAATATCATTGTATGTCAGTGACAGCTGTGCATCTGAACCTGTATTTCTGCAGGATGTAGGATGTATATATATATATATCACTGCCACAAATTAAGAATTCATTCCAACAACTTAATTTTTTCCATTGTTTAAATTAAATTGTGCCCAACTGCCCATGAACGTCTCAGGTTACGTATGTAACCATGGTTCCCTGAGAAGGGAACGAGACACTGCCTCCTCTAGGGGTTGCTATGGGGAACGCCTTCAGCATGATCGGTGTCTGAAGCATACATCTAAAAACGACAATAACATTGGCTGGTGACAGCCTATGACATCATTACCCTGCGCGATCACAGTATAAAAGGGTGCCGGGATAACACGTCATCCTCTTCTTCGTCTGAAGCTTGCATCCAAAGCATGGCTAGGAAACTAGAGGATGCAGTGTCTCGTTCCCTTCTCAGGGAACCATGGTTACATACGTAGCCCGAGACGTTCCCTTTCGAGGGAACTTTGAACTGCGTCCTCTAGGGGTCGCTATGGGGAACGGTATACCCACGCCACCATGCTGAGGGGAGTGCATGCCAGAAAACTACAGCGAGCACTAAGTACAAACTCTACCATAGCCGCTGTACTTGCGTTATGATAGAGGGGGGTTAAACTTACCAAACTTAAAATGGTACTACTGAGCAGCTCAAATTAGAGCAGCAATGTTTTATTTTGAGAAAGACTATCCTCCGACCTGGGTATCCATAGAGGCTCACTCTATTCCAATTCCTTTGAATTTATATTTGCATTCAGCTGATGCTAAGAAGTTAATTAAAGGTACTAAAAATACATATACCAGAAATACTATAACAGTATGGTTTGAGGCTCTTGCTCATTTAGGTGAATTACCACAACTCTCGCGCTTTTGACCAGTTTTTGGTAATCCAGGTTTTAAAATCTGGTCAATTCAAGGTATTAGTAAGGTCTCTGAT